TTACAGGCTCGCCTTATTTACACAGTCAAGAATACAGTGTTAGAAACACAAAGTGTCGAGAGGGAAACAAAAAGAAATCTTTAAAAAATCAGTTCCAGACATCAGGAAATTACACAGTAATGAGAACAAAATCTGTGGTGCTGGGATTACACGTGTGGCTTTGATATAAAGTCCTTCTCAAACTGGTACCTGCGTTTAGAAGTTTTCCCGTTATACAAAGCATATTTTTCATTGTTTATTATAGAAAAGAAGTGTCTGATTATTTCCACAAGTAACTTAACTCTAATCCTTTCCTTGATTCGTTGTAAAAACAGAAGGAGAAGTTTGCTAGTTTTACCCTGTACATTTGTAATTTCAGGGGGGTCCTTTGCAAAATTCGTAACTTCAGAGACCATTCAGTTTGATGGCATACACAACTTTTTTTTAAACCTCACATTCCCAGAATCCCTCAGCCAACGTAGCCACGGCCTTCCCGATTCTGATTTGGTTTCGAAGCTGTTTGGCACCGTGTCGTCAATAGTACACAAACACTACATGTTTGTGGGGTGGAAGAATTTAATTAGATATTTCCAATGATTAAAGTTTCAGAATAAGTTCTTGGACAAATTGTTATACTTGCCCCTCCCTTGACTCCTGTGCACTGTCTAGGAAAGGTATGTTGCAACTCAGTCCCAGTGAAATGAATGGGACTTGGCCATAGCCATTAATTTCATTGCATTTAAAGGGATTTAATTTTGCCGGTGTCTCCTAGAGACTCTACTGCTAGGAGGCTACGGTACTAAGGCTATTGGCAAGATTGTTTCACATCTGTCACAGGACCAATTGAAGGAAGGGATTTGGAGGAATGAGATTCTAGTTATATGTCTTCTATGGGTGTCAAACATCTGGGTTGTGTTATAATGGCTGCCCTGCATTACCATTTCCCTTTCCCACAAAATCTCCCTTTCTATTTTTTCCCCCCTTGGAATACACCTTCCATTTCTGTATCCTCTGGTTTTCACGTGAAAAATCATGAGTTATGTGCAGAAAACCAGGAACCACCCAAAATCAGACAAGAAGTGGTTGGCTGGGTACAACAAAAATAAGCATGCTAATTTAGCATATCTCGTTTCTATGTGCAAACCTTTTATAGGTATGTTTTTCCCTGCTTTGTTTTTGTTTTTACTTTGGCGTCGCCCCATCCAGTGATCCTCACCCGAGACCCTGCATGTGTAAATATGTTACCAGATTCTAGTACCATGCTACCAGAAAATAAGCTGAAACAGGTATTTAATGGGGTGCTCTTATTTTCTAGCAACCCATGTGCATCAATGTGTAGCGTGAGGTTACACACATACAGAAAAGCAGTGTAAGTTTTACTTTACTTAGGAAGTACTTGTCTTGCTCCATTTCAGTTCATTCAGTAACAGAGAATTTCCAAAAAAACAAAACAAAACATTTTTTTGAAGTCACAGAAAATACTATTTAAATGTATTCTAAAAGTTAGCCACTCTTTGAAATGTCTCCCCTTGATTATTCCAGATTTTGATCTTTAAAGGAGTATGTGTGGGGGAGGAATGTCTTAATTATTTTTTAATACATTTGAAAGCTAAACCAAAGAAAGGAACAATGGGGGAAAAAGGTCTTAAAAACAAGGCAGTTGTAACACTTTGTAGAAAACAATCAGATTAATTTAGATGCAAGACATTCCAAATCAAACATTATCACACGGAGCTAGTTCTTGGAAGGGATACCTTTTTTCCATTATAAAGCCTGTTGATACTTAAAGAATACTGGGAAGCAATGGTATTATAGACATCTATCTGGAAGCAAATCTCATTGAATGCAGTACAGTTTAGTTCTAAGTAGGTGCCTGCCGGATCATACTTTTGCAACAACCTGCAAGGCACCAATAACAGGTGTCTTATATTAGACCACTTTTGATTCAGATCACATCCTAGGGAACCCGAGGACTGCTTAGGAGCTTCTTGATGTTCTCCAGTGAGAAGCATCTGTTGAAGTCAATTTTCTCACCACCTTTTCCTGCCAAGCCACAGAGTGTTCAGATGTGCTCAAGTATGAACTCATTTCCTTTGTAGCAAGAGTGAAGACCCACCAGATCGGAACAGAATCCTGCATGAGCTGAGACTCTGCTTTGGCATGGAGCATGGACCCAGAATCATGTGTAATGCCTGAGATTCCCAAAATACAAGCAGTTTGAAGTGTGCATGGGAGCATTCCTGCATGTCAGTGTCTCACCGAGAGGCTGGGTACTACACTGCATCGCAATTCAATGTGTTTCCTTGGGAACTTTTAAAAAACAAGGTGTGTACCCATCCATGATGGCACCAACATATGACATGGAATAGAATACTCTTCTGCCTTACACCGACAACCAGTTTTAATTCAGCTTCCTGTTATATTTACACGTTGCACTTCCTTCAAGAAGCTCAGGATCAGAAGCTAAGATTTCCTGACTGTCTCTCATCCAGAGACTGGCTAGTAATTTATTAGAGCTTATGAATAGTTATACCTGTAACTGCATGAAGAAATCTGATTTGAGATGCCACAAAAGTCTGTTTGTAATCGAAATGCTAAGAAATGTATACACATTCTTTGTCTTTAAAAAAAGAGAGAGCAAGAGAGATAAAGGTGGCTAAGGAAAAATCACCACTGCAGAATTTTAGTATGTAGGATTTGCCAGACCCAATTTGCTTCTTTGGAAAACTTTGCATGAAAATGTTATTCCTTACAAAACCTAAGGCTGTATGTAGGTGGCTCCGATGGCTGCGGGTAAAGCAGGATGCAAATTGTGTATGTTTCATCAGGAATGACAATTTCATTCTAATGTTTTGCAAAAGGCTGGCTCCCACATTTTCAGGAATCTGGAGCACTAGACCTCTGTAGGTCTACATCATAATGACAAACTAATAATACTACTATAGCATGCTTTAAGATGGAAGAAGGGGTGCTATCCTGGTCCAGTCCAAAGAACCTGGAATAGCAGAGGTTACCCAGAAGAATGCTGGAATCTACCTTTCTTGTGATGGCAGAAAGGGGGTGGGGATAGATAGCGCCAATGAAATGTATTCACGCAGCAGGCAGTTTTGCTTCCTGGCTGGTCAACAAAAACTTCCAAACACCAGCCAAAATCCTGGTCCATAAATTATACCTGGATAAGAGTTATGCCATTACTGGTAGGGAGATTGTAGGTAACTGAAACAGTTCCTGTTTTGAATCCCTGAATCACCTGCAGTCAGTCTCATTGCATGCGGGTTTGGCAAGCCCTGGGATGGAAGGAGGAGTCTTTAATCACTGGCAATCTCCTCTCGTCCCTGTCATGTGCTGTCAAATCTTTCCAACATCTGCTCAATTTTTATCTTTTGGCTTAAGATTAGAGGAACCCTAACAGAGCATCCAAGGTAAAGTTATTTAAGGAGTGGCTTTACCGGTTTCATACCACCTGTGAGCTTTCATGGCTGAGCAGGGATTCAAACCCCTTGAGTCCTTAGTCTATCACTCTATCCACTACACTACACTGGGTATCACCTTTATGGGTGTAATCTATGGGACAGGGTTTGAGCTGTCTTCCCTACACTTAGGAAAGCTTGAGCGTAAGGAAGCATGCCACAGCTAACATTCCAGCCTGTCTTTGGAACTATTCAGCTTCATGTTGAATCCATGTGGATATTTTGAATTCGAAATAGGCGTTTTTGTGTGTGTTTTTAAAACCCTGGAGGAGATTTTGACCCATCATTTGTAAACAATGATCTCTTCACAAGGCTGTGTTAAATTCCACGTAAAACAGTTTATCCTGTAAGGGTTGTGAAATGCAATGTGAAACTATGGTATTAGAGAGGGTTGAGGCAGGATTTTCACTTGGAAGAGGTGAACTCCTGTATCTTTCACAAGATGGTTTTTATATCCGCTTGTCACAGTACTGTTTCCCTGGTCTCTGCTCCTTCAGCTCACCAGTGGCCAAGTTCCATAGATTTCTATTCCATTCTGCTATTTCTGGCCACAAATTTCCAGTTGTTTGGAAGCCTCAGTCCTGCAAGAAGAATATATTGCACCAAAGAAACAGATACAGGCCAATCCACTTAAGACTATTTGATCGGTTCTAGGTTTCCCATGGTACAGAATCGGGTGGCATTAAATGTGGGATTTATTTGCACAGATTGGCCAAAATCCTACTGTGTTTTTACACGGGCCTAACACAATCAGCAAATTTCAAACAACCTAAGTGGTTGGTATAGGCATTGGCAGTTGAGTGCCGTATCACTTGGCTTGCCATGCAACAGCAGAGGACTATGCGGACTTCTTAATTTACGCCAACTTGCCGTCAAGACTTACACTTGGTTGTGTTATGCTGGTGCACGTAACTTACAGGGCTCCCAAGGCTAGGCATAATGTATTTGGGCACGTGAAGCCACCCTCTCTTAACTCAGCAGTGGACGGAACATGCATTTCCGTGCCTAACGCGCCATGTTCAATTGCTTAAATTGCCGATTACAGGACGGCATAAACACCAAAGAAAGACCTCCCCCAAGAATGGAGGCTAAGTACACAGAGCAACGGTAGGGCTCCGTATATGGCCAAACGGAGGTCCGCAGACATTGTGGAGTGTCTGCTGACAGTTCTGGATTGCTTTCAAAGCAACCACTGAAGCTATGCATCGAGACAGGGCTGGTAAGAAGTGCCTCCTTCTCTATGGAGAAAAAGATAAACGGAGGGATCTTAGGAAGAAAAACATGGAAGGGATTCTGGTTAAGCAAAGGCCCCATGGAGCTGTCCTACTTCTCCCTTGTTGCTGCTCTAATCAAATTTGGTACAGTGGTGCCTCGCTAGACAGTTACCCCGCATGACAGTTTTTTTCGCTAGACATTGACTTTTTGCGATCGCTACAGCGATTCGCCGAAACAGTGATTCCTATGGGGGAATTTCACTGGACAACGTTTGGTCCCTGCTTCGCAAACCGATTTTCGCTAGATGACGATTTGCTTTTTGCTAGACAATGATTTCGCTAAACAGCGATTTCAGTGGAACAGATTATCATCATCTAGCGAGGCACCACTGTACCCCCCCTTTCGCTGGGGACGGTCTGTGGTCCAGATTGCAGGGTCTTACCACTTAATAGCAGGGTGAGCCCCGCTCCCACCCCACTGCTCTAACCATGGGTTGGTAATCCCCTCTCCTGAAGCTGCATTAAAATGAAAACGGAAAGCACAGAGAGACTCTCTGTATGTCTCTCACATCGACATCTAGTTTGGTTTTCATCGTTTTTGGGAGGAACCGAAAACCTTTCACCGACCGGTGAGCCCTGCAGTTGGAACACTGCCTCCTCAGCTTCTAAGAAAAGACGTCCCCATCTTTGAAAGAGGATTGTTAAGACACTTGACCTGGTGTACAGAAATACTATATATTTAAGGAGAGTTTACCATTGACAAATATACATCAGCGGCGCTTCCCATCCATCGCCGTGTGCAAGAAAAGTTAATTCTAGTAGAGTGTGAATCCTTCCCTACCCGCCCCCACCCCAATCCCAATAGCTGTTATGGGGGGTTTCAAACTTAAAAAAGGAAAGAAGGAGATTTGCACCGATACGTACTCTGCCGCGCGCACACAAACACAAAAATCAAACTGGTGAACAAAATAGCCTATTGTAGTAAAAAAGACTCGTTTAAAAAAAATAAAAAAAGATTATTCCATCTCCAGAAAGGGAAAGATTCATTATCTTGCAAGTCTATAAGATGCAGCTATGTTGCCTCGTTCGGCTACCTCTGAGCCTCAAGATTGCCCAGAAAGAATGGAAAATGAAAACAACCTGCAAGTTCTCCTTTAGAGGTTCATACTTATGTAGAAGGATCACATTAAGAAGGTTTTGAACAGTCTCCAGCTGCTTCTTCATTTTTTTTCCTTTGTTTTCTGTGCGCACCATAAAATGCTGTGAGCTTCCTTTTCCCTCTGCTCATGATTGGAAATCCTTTCTTCTCCCATTTTCCAACCCAAGTAGAAAGGGTTAGCATGAACCTAATACCGAGATCCTGTCCCCGTCGCATTCAAAAACCTATAGATTGACCTCAACAATTCTCCTTTTCTTTTCTTTTTTCCTGAATGTTTAAAGGCTTAAAAAAGGACACAGGATTTCACCGCGCTTACGCAAGGGTGAAATACACTTTCTGATCTCAGGAGAGGCGAGAGGCCGACTGTAACAGGTGAAAAAAAAGCCAATCTAAAAAAATTAAAATAAAATAAAAGGGATGTGGCATGAGTTACAGTGCAACTGTATGACCACTCCACCCCACCTTTGTTCACTATCATTTCATTTCTTTCTTTCTTTCTCTCTCTCTCTCTCTTTAAAAAAAGGGATTTGAGTACAACACAGTCTGGTACGCGGCCACAAAAAGAGTAGCTGTCTTTGGCAAGAAGTCAACGCGCCGACCCGCCCTGTCACCTTCTGCCCATCTCACTCTGTCTCATAAAGTGGATGTTGTTGGCGTTGTCCGAGAGTTCTGGATACTGCTCCACTGAGATCACAAAATAGCCATCGTAGCCCTGAACCTGCCCTGTGTTTAGCAACTGCTGCTTCTCCCCTTCTGTCCAGAAGCGGGCGCCCTCCTCCCCGTCCCGCAGTCTCTGCTGCTCACGCGCCCAGGCCTGGCCCACCGCCCGTTGCCTGGCGAGCTCCAGCACGCGGGTCTTCTCCTCGTCCAAGCTGATCCCGTACCGGGTGTTGAGACACAGCGCTCCGTACTGGAGCTGGATGTCTGTGTATCGTTTAGTCCTTCCGTTGAGCACAGTGTTGATCTGGGAAACGGTGACGTTGACCCCGTTTTCCAAGGTTCTCCTCCCACCGCTGAGGCCCAGGATGGACAAGTCGCCGTCTGAAGGGCCTTGCTTGACAAAATAGTGCGTGTCCACGCCCTCGATGGTGAAGTGCAAGTTCTCCAGGTGGTGCGCGTTGTTCAGTATGGCTGCAATCCTCCGCCCGTCCTCGTTAGCTGTGCTGATAATGTCGGTGGCGACCCTTCCGTCCTTCATGGCAAACTTGACCCCCTTGCCAATGACCGAGCCGCCAGAAGCAAAATTAAGATTCTCCTTGACTTCATGACATCCGGCAATGCTGGAGCTGTAGATCTGCTCGAAGCGCTCCAAAGTGACGAAAGCCTTCAGTTGTTTCTGGACTTCACACTGCACTCCCAAGATCGACTGAACCACGGCAGAGAGAGAGAAAAAAACGCACAGTGTTAATAGCAGATACACACAGAACGATAAAACAGTAATCACAGGTTTCCATAGACGATTTATTTGTTCTCTTTTCTGATAGCAGAACTTGAAGTAGGATATTCGTATTTATATACCAGGGGATACGAATACAAATAGCAGCACTGTAGGTGTCACAGAGGCCCATTCACTCCCCCCCCCCAGAATTAGCTGGTCCACTTACCGGTCACTACGCAGACCTGGGGTTCTTTGCAGTCCTCACTGCACCAATAGTGGAAGGGCCCAGCGGGCTCTTCCTCCGTCTCCCCACGCAGCCGACCACTCCTCAGCAGAACGAGGAGACTCCCCATCCTGCCTCCTCGCTGGACTGGTCAGCTGCCCAGGGAGGCGGGGAAGAGCTCCGTCGGACTCCTTCTGTGGTTGGCGTGAGGATGGCAATGAAGGACTCCAGTGCTGCACAACAACTGGAATGTGGAACGGCCAATTCCGGGGTGGGGGTGGGGGATGGAATGGACCTCATATGAATATCAATAGCCCATCTCTTAGGAGAACCTACAGATATATCTAAGATATTCTCCAGCTCAGCAGATGCCATCTTTATCTAAAAAAACAAACTAAACATGATGCGGCGAGGTCCATGATGAGGATGACCTACACATTACACATAGGCACTTTGTATTTGCAAACCACTTTCCATCTGCCTCCATGCCACAGTGGTTGGCTGCGGGGGGAGGAGGAGAAGCAGGGAAGGGCTGTACAGGCTGTTTCCATGATTGGCGCGATGATGACAATGATGGAGCCAAGCATCGTGCAAAGCCCAGTAAGCGGCCCAGTCGGTTCTGGGGGGTGGGATTGGGGAAAGAAATATGAAGTGCCCATGTCTACTAGCCATATTTGTATGATGCATGTTTTTCCATGTTGGAGGGATAGCAGGTCTTTGGGAAGATACCCTGTTTTCCCCAAAATAAGACATAACCTGAAAATAAGCCCTAGTATGATTTTTCAGGATGCTCGTATAAGTCCTACCCCCAAAATAAGCCCCAGTTAAATGAAACCTTGTCCTCCACCATTGTGCAACAGATGACATGCCTGTATTTGAATAAATGTAAATGGTTGCACGTGAAAATAATATAAATCATCCCCTGAAAATAAGCCCTAATGCGTTTTTATAGCAAAAATTAATATTAAGACCCTGTCTTATTTTCAGGAAAACACAGTAGATACGTTTCAACCAAGAAATTAATGGAAAATATTAACTGACACACCATCCCTGATGAAGCAGCCCTGATCAAAATTGGAATTTTAGTCATGGACTTGGCTTTTCATATTTGCTTTGGCTCTAAATGAACAACACAAGCCAACGTGTTTTCTGCAAGACTTAAAATGTGATACTCCTGAAGTACTCCTAGCCTCACCGCCAACGGCTTCTTCAAGTACTCTAAAATGTTATTACGGGCATCCACACAATAGTAATTAAAAAAACTTCTTCGTTATCTTGAAATAACTCCCGTGCCTTTGAAAAGCCGCTTAATTTTAAGATCTAATGACCTTGAACACACCCTTTTAATAATAAAGCAATGCATTTGGGAAGAGTGCTCTCTTCGGGCGAAGAAAAACAAGTTGTGGACGATGCGGCGGTGAAAAATAAAAAGGAACGGACGCAGACAGATTATGCAGAGTTCAAAGAGACAGAGTATCCTGCCTTTGAAATTTGCTATCCATTCTGTTTCATCTTCCATCATGCATTCCCCCCCCCCTTATTCAACGTTGGATGAGGGAAGAGGAGAAATAGGAAATGCCATTTGAGTGCAGATGATGGGCTTCTGATAATACCAAAGCTTTCAGCAAACTGTTAAGATAGAGAGGACTGCCAGAAAATCAGAAGTAATGTAGATAGAAAGGGGTGAACTCATGTGGTCTAGGAGATAAAAATGTCGAACTTAAACCTTGGGTTTTTAAAGCTAGCCCTGGATTTAGAGCTGTTCTGTCTGATGCAAAGCGTTTTCTTTTAGGAAATGACTAGCAACCCATGTCTAGGTTGCCAAATGGAAATGCCACGAGGGATGAGCTATGATTAAGTATGGTAAGTAACCAAATAAATAAATTTAAAAATGTAAATTTTGCCCTTAGAACGCTCTGGAAAAGGAATCAAGCCTTCTTTCTATTTCTATTTCCGATTCAAGGCTGGGAAGGGTTTTGACTATATCTGTATATGGGCATCTATTCCTTGTTGGACTCGAGAATTCATCTCCTACAATACAGAGCACATTCTGCATCCTTGGAATGAATAGCTGTGATGCAGGAGGGTTCAGTAAAAACATCACCCCTCACTATCGAGTGATGGGAGAAGTCTTTTCAGCTTCCACAATCTGCTTTGGAGTTTTGTCCAGAAGGAACTTTTTTTTTCACCAAAGGAACAGAACCAGTTTTTCTTTTAAACCATATTTTGTCTCTGGTCTTAAAAGACCTGGAGGACAGGGGAAACATTCATGAAGGCTACGTCCTGTTCCTTTTTACTGAGTAAATACCACAGTACCCCATGCTGGAAAGGGAGCCAGAAGGGTATTTCAATAATGGATCTTACTACAGTCACCTGGGGATACTCAACGAGGAGGTGAAAACAAAATAAAAATAAAGACAAAAATGTCTTTAAAGATGAACTTTTTTTTTTAATGCGAGCTTTTGTGGACAAGTCCACTTCATCAGACATCAACAAGGAGGGTTGCTTCACCTCTGCTGTGTGAAATCTTGAACGTCTCAGAGAAGGCAACGTAAGAGTTTGTAAATGTTACTTTTCGGGTCTGCAATTTCCAGAACTCGTCAAAGGACCCAGTTCCCAGAATCTGGACACCAACCTACAGAATCTCCCAGGATTCGACCTCCCTTCTCGTGTCTGGGAGCTACACTCCCCAAAAAGAGTATCTTCTTTCAGCTCTCATCTAGAGCCTGTGAAAAAAGCAACGCCACAGCAGGGGTGCTGTGTGCTTGGATGCAATTATGGATGGGCTCCGAAGAAGGTGATTAATGACTACTTCCTCCCCAGTCCCCCATCTCTGAATGCAAGAATCTTCTAAAAATAAGAAGCGATGACCTTCTAGGACTCGGAGGAGGGCCAATGCACCAAAGTTTGGGTGAGTTACCTTGCTGTTGTCCCATTCTTGGGTTTTTAGTTGGGTGTGGACGAGTTCATAGGAGGGCTCCATGGCTTCCACGTCCGGCTTCGGATATCCAGGGATAACATTGTGCAGTTGAAATCCAAACGTAAGCAACCAGCTGTTGACATCTGGAAAAGGAGAAATCCACAAAAAAAATTAACACAGATAGGCACAACAAAATGTAGTCCTGCATCCTGTGTTTGAGAGCTAAACATCTGGATGGTGATGTTACGATTCCATGCCCCCACCACCACCAAGAAGAGGGCACTGGCTATTTGCATGTGTGCATTCGTACACAGAGGTCCTGTGTCAAGGGTCAGCCTTCTCAGGGATCTGTGGAGGAGCCAAGCCTCTGCAGGGGGGCTATTCTAAAGCAGTGGTCCTCAACCTTGGGCCTCCAGATGTTCCTGGACTACAACTCCCAGAAGCCTTCACCACAACATCTGCTAGCCAGGATTTCTGGGAGTTGAAGTCCAAGAACATCTGGAGGCCCAAGGTTGGGGACCACTGCTCTAAAGGATCCCCTGAAGCCTTCTCTTCGCCCTTGCAACCTGTTGGTTCCACCATCTCTTGCTCCAGCTCAGATCATGGTGGTTGGGGGTGAGGGAGGAGCATGCCTTCTCTCTGCCTGCTGGAGAAGCAGTATGGAGAAAGAAACGGAGAAGAAGGAGAGACAGCCTCCAAATATTCTGGCAAGAAGAAAGAAATGGTGAGCGCAGGGAGGCTGTGAAGGTGTCTCGCCCCAAGAACTCTGAAGACGGTACCACGCGCAGCGTCAAGAGTGGCCGTTTCTCCATTATATCTAGAAGGGCCTTGTGGCAATGTCACTGGTCCAGGAGGGACTCCAAAGAGCATCCTTTTCCCCAGGAAAATGAGGGTCCGGATCCTGATCTGCCATGATTACACTGTGGAGCTTGGAAGAAGTTAGTCTCTATTTATTAAAAAATGGAAGTGTGTGCGCACTTTGCTTTCTTGGCATCTGCCAGCTGGCTAATGCATCCCTTCCTGCTGTATTATCTTTGCTGATACTCGGGGCACAGAAGAGCATCCATCACCCCAGGCCCACCACTGCATTTTGGCCACAAAAGTGTGCATGATTGTGTGTGTTTTTTTTCCTTTAAAAGACAAGCCCTTTATTTCATTTTAAAAATGAGGATGGGTACAGGAGCACTCTTTCAAAACCCAGGGATGTGCAGGGGTGGCTCTCCAACCTCTGGAGGCTGCCCATCTCTGCTTTAACCAAATGATCCTGACAGTGTGTGCTGTTTTCATTTACTTTTCAGGAGAACTGAGACTCGAGGTGGCAAACGGAATGCAAGCAGACAGAGATTAAAAACAAGCACAGATTAAAATATGCAAAAGGCTACTGTTATCTGCTGTTTATGAGCCTTGTGGCGCAGCGGCTGAACTGCTGTATTACAGCTCAAACTGTGTTTGTGACCTGACGGGGTTCAATCTCAAGCAGCTCGAGGTTGACTCAGCCTTCCAAGGTTGGTAAAAGGAGTACCCAAATTGCTGGGGGGGAAGGCAATGTGTTGCCTCCTTAATTAATTTGTAAATTGTCCAGAGGTTGCTTTAAGCACTATAGGGCGGTACATAGGTAACTGTAAAGGTTCCCCTTGACAATTTGTCCAGTCACGTGTGACTCTAGGGGGCAGTGCTCATCCCCGTCTCCAACCCACAGAGCCAGCGTTTTGTCTGTAGACTGGTCACGTGGCCAGCGCGACTAGACACGGAACACCGTGACCTTCCCACCGAGGTGGTACCTATTTATCTACTGTCCTCCCATTTTTACATGCTTTCGAACGGCTAGGTTGGCAGGAGCTGGGACAAACGACGGGAGCTCACTCCGACGCGTGGATTCGATCTTACGACGGCTGGTCTTCTGACCTTGCAGCACAGAGGCTTCTGCGGTTTAACCCGCAGCGCCACCACATCCCATGAGGCGGGATATAAGCACACTTTATTTAGAAATAGGTTATACTTGCATACTACCATTGTGTCTTCTCATGTTTCCAATGCCTGCTCCTCCTTTTTTGGCTGTTACTCCCTGTTCTGTTCATGGCAGCTTCTCAATCATTCCCCCCTCCCCCCAAAATCTGGCAGGCAGCTCCTTTTCTTCAAGACCTGCCAGTCCTCGCTTCCATTCCTCTTTTCTCTGTCCGTGTGCTGCCTTGCCTTTTTCGCTCCAAGATGCGCCGACTTCCACCCCTAAAATTACTTGCTCCGGTCCAATTCCCCTGCTCTCCAACCTGTTTGGTCAACGTTTGCAATCTCTCTGGTCTGGCCTGTCTTTAAGGCATGCGATGCTTGTTTTTCCCCAGCCCTTAAATAACAATTCTCATGGATGAATTAACGCTTAATCGCATTGTTATTTTTAAAAGGCTTGATCAAAAGGTCATGATTAGAAAGGATTCAACTGCTGCTCTCCTGGAGCAAGAAGCCTTAATGCGGTTTATTTAGATGCAATTTAGAAGCTGGGCTGCCAGCTGATGCACGCAATGATACCTCCGCGGCGACTGATAGGAAATTAGAAGGACATTAATCACGCTTTAATCTGCTGAAAGGCATGAAGGAAAGTGAGACGGAAAAGATAACCTTTCGTGAGCAGTGTCGCTTATTCCTTACCTTGCAGGGCTGAGACAGTGAAGAAGGCCACAGGACTAAGTGGCAGATACGGGGCACATGGGTAGAAGAGCTTCCTTAACAGGCAACAGCCATGTAGGGCAAAGCAGCTTGCTTTTAAAATCAAATATAGGGAGGTTAACACAGACTTAATTTGCAAGTCTGATTGCTCAGGGCATGGAGCTCTGAAGGAACTGCGTGTCTGTAGAGAAAGCACTGTTAATAGCAGAAAAGATATCTTTCTCATAGGGTGCCATTTGTTCTTAGGACATAAGAAGCTGCCTTGTACTGTGCCGGACTATCTGTCCATTGGACAGCGCTATGTCTTCTCTGATTGGGAATGACTCTTGAACCAGACTGCCACGGGAGAAACCCAGAGCCTCCCCAGTTTACAAGACATGCGCTCTGTCACTAGTGAGCTATGGTATTCAGTCCTTGGAGAAATGCCAAAGCTCAGGGACACAGCAGACATTTCACATTCAAAATCACCCAGGTTTCCATCTGTGCCACTTGGACAACAGGCTTAAAAAACAAACGTTACCTGTCATGTAGCACTTTATATCCTGAGAGTTACTAATAGGGTTGTTGTTCTTGAACATATAAAGATTGAAAGGCATGATGTTGCTGCTGCTTAGGCGCTTCCAAATGCCGTGGTCTGGGCTGGTCCACCGGCCAGCAAGTACGTCGTAGTCCCTCTTCCCCATATGTATGAGCTTCGTCAGGGGGTCGTAGAGGCCTCCATGGTAACCGATAATGATCTGGAAGTTTGGGTTGGTGTCCATATAGATTTCGCCGTAGGCTGTATATAGAATCTGCTTGATCATTAAGCCCGTTCCACTGAAGACAGCCAACGGGGTCCCGATGTTGTCACACGCAATGTAAAATTCATCCCCGCTGCTTAGCTCCATGGCAAAGAGATGGCCCTGGAGGTCATAATAGAGGGAGGTGATTTCAGAACTCGAGTGATTGTACAAGTGCGTGACTTTGGTGGGGTTGGCGAGATCGGCGTAAAAGAACTGCAGATGATGACCGTGGGCGGTTTTGCTGGAAACCCTCCTTCCGAGCCCGTCGTAACGATATTTAACGCTCCAGCCGCTGGCTTTGTTGTACGCCTTGATGAGCAGGCCCGCAGAATTGTACTCAAAAATGTCATTCCCTCTTTGTCTTAAGAAACCGTCTTCATCCATCTTATACTGCACATCCCCCAGTCTTGTAATCCGGTCCCTGAGATCGTACCTCAGTGGTGTGAGGCGAGCGCTGTTCCCGGGACTCAGCAAATGGAGATTCCCATTTAGGTCGTAACTGTACCGCCAAAGCGGCTTCTCGTTAATAGAGACAGTCTGCAGCTGGCCGTCAGCATCGTACTCGTATGAGTACCTCGTGGTGTTGGCGTACGGGCCAACCTTCAACTCCTTTTTCACTACTCTGCCCATGTTGTCATACTGCACTGTCATCCAGTACATCAGGGACCTAAATATCTCATACTGTACTTCTTTCATCCTGCCGTAGGCATCAAAATGCTTGGTGTGGGTCATGACAGCTGTGGTGATGATCTGATTGATGTCGTAGTAGATCACCCCAAACTTGCCAAACTGTTCGGTTTTGCCCGACACATCATCATACCGGTAGAGGTCAATGGGTAAGGGGGTCTCGTTGATCACGGCTTGCATGCTGGTCACCCGGAAGCTATTGTCGTAATTATAGTCAAAGCGGGCGTTCACCATGCCTTCCTCTGTGAAACGGAAGATCTGCCGATCGATGAGAGGCCCAATCTGCCGATACCTGATCGTGCAGGTGAACCCCTCGTTTTGCAGGTTTATGGTCTTCAGCATCCCGGCGGTTTCGTCATAGGTGAAGCTGATCTTGGTGGTGTCATAGAGCATTTCCGACAGCTTGGAGAGCTTGCCGTACTTGTAGATGACATGCCTCCCTGTCCCCAGATGACAGGTGTGAAGGAGTTGCCCTTCCTCGTTGAAATCCTCAACAACGGATGCATTGCCCTCTGGGGGCCTGTAGATGTTCCTGTAATAGCCAATGGAACGGATGGTTTCCAAAGTTTGCCGAGCTACGTTGGGCATGGTCACAGACGATAAGCGATCATTCTTATCAAATTCGAAAATGTACTGCCTCTGGCTGTGAAGAAGCAATACCATGGACTGCAACCAAGAGAGAGAAAGAATTATAGTCATTAGAAATGTAAACCTCAAGCAAGAACAATCTAAAAGACATTTTTTATTATTCTAATCGTTACTTAGAATAATTAGTACCGTATTTTTCTGTGCATAAAACGACATTTTTTCCTAAAATAATTAAAGGACAATTTGTGGGTCGTTTTATACTCGGAAGTAAGGGGGGAAGGGATCAAAGTGCTTTGATCCCTGCTTTCCCCCTCCACGTTTGGAAAGAAAATGCAAAACGTTTACAACTAAAATGTAGGTGGAAAGCAGAAATCGCTTTCCCCCTCCATTTTTTTTTTTTGCAAAACGTGGAGGGGGGGAAGCTGATTCTTGCAATTAAAATCTAGGGGGAAAGCAGGAATTGCTTTCCCCCTCCACTTTCTTGCAAAGAAAGAAATTTTGGGTTAAAAAGTGGGGGGCCTTATACATGGGGACATCTTAAACACGGAAAAATACGGTAATCTTGGTGGTGGGGAGAGGTAGAAGAACTATGCTCCAGTTACCTCAACACTGAAAATATCCTGTAGTTTCCTGTTCTTTTCTTATTGCTACCCCATCTCCTTTACCTACAATAGTTTTTCAGTGGAGGAATACATCCAATATTTTTCTAGGTTCATATTCATAAAAAAAAAAGTCCACTGCTGAAAAATGAATTACCTAAAGTGCTTTGGGATAAGACAACTGCTCCAATCAAAATTAGGAATGGGTGAATTTATGGGAACAGAAAGTACACCTGTCTTTTCCCAGCGTGGAGCAATGGAGTGGGGGATCACTATTAATTAGGCCTAGACTATTATATTTCTTGGACATTTGTCCCCAGAGTTCAGCAGGAGTTCCCCTAGACAGAATTTTATGGGCCTAAGCCAAGAAATCAAAGTCCTCACAGGAGTTTTCAATTATGCACAGGTGGGAACGAAGGCTCTGCCAACCTTTCTTTTTCCTGTGAAGAAGAGAGAGGAAATGCGTGGGAGTGGCTAAACTTCATAGGAGCTGCAACAGTTTAGGGGACGGGTGATCCCTCTTCCCCTTAAATTTCTGAATAGGATTACTCTAAAAATAAACAAACAAAAAACCCACCAGCCTTCTAAGCTCTTGTGGTTGCCATAGAGCTTGGCGACTCCCACCTTTTAAATATTTTATTTTATTTTTTTCATATGCCACATTTCTCCCCATAGGGGGACTCAAGGCCACACACTTATTGCTTAAACGCCTGCCTGAAAGGGAAGGCTCTTTGCCTGACGATGGAAGGATGAAAGAGAAGGGGCCAACCCTTCTCGTCTTGGGGCATTTGCATTCCAAAGCCCAGGAGCAGCCACTGAGAAGGTCCACTCTAATTTACTCATCCAGCCAGCTTGAGAAGGTGGTGGAAGGGCGAGAAGGGCCTTGCCGGAAGATCTTAAAAGCCAAGTAGGTTCATACGGGGTGATATAATCCTTTAAACAGTGAGGAAGACATGTCCTCTTTCTTCCTCACTGGAAAATAATGCCTGACGGAACCTTTTTTCTCCACCTATGTCTAATGGGAAACTCTTGTGAGGACTTTGATTTAATGGCTAAAGCCCTGAAAATTTCAGACAGGGGAATTATGGAGGCCGAAGTCCAAAAAACACTAAAGTTTCATGCCTACTACAACATCTGCTATTACTGTACTGGCAATTCCAATCTGTAGTGCCCCTCTTCAGGGTTTTCAAGGTATATTCAGAAGCAGTTTTGGTGTTGTTTAGTTTTTAAGTCGTGTCCGACTCTTTGTGACCCCATGGACCAGAGCACGCCAGGCCCTCCTGTTTTCCACTGCCTCCCAGAGTTTGGTCAAATTCATGTTGGTAGCTTTGATGACACTGTCCAACCATCTTGTCCTCTGTTGTCCCCTTCTCCTCTTGCCCTCACTCTTTCCCAACACCAGGTTCTTTTCCAGGTAGTCTTATAGCAGTTTACTATTCCATTACCATTCTCTTCTCCTGGAGCCACCCTGTGACTATGTAGCGTATCCACGACTACACAAGTTGGCTCTTCTCCTGGGAGACACCGAAGGGAATCAAACTCCCCACTTTGGCTCTACAGCCAGATATCCAACTCACTGAGCTATCCAGCCAATAGGGTTGTTCTTACCACCACCCTCCAAATGACTACTGAAAATCTTTTAAGATTGAAAAGCAATTAAGAGGTTTATAGTTTACATCCGCTAGAACTTTAGAAGAGGACAAAACGAAGGAAAGAGTGAAAACATAACGTACCGTATTTTTCCATGTATAATACGCCCCCACTTTTCTAATCCAAAATTAAGAAATCTAAGTGGGGCTTAGCAAGTGTAAGGGGAAAGGGATCAAAGCACTGCAGAATCGCTTTGATCCCTGCTTTCCCCTCCACTTGTTTTGGTTCTCTCCTCAGCTTACTTCCGTGTATAAGACGACCCTCAATTTTTAGTCTAAAGATTTTAGACAAAAGTATAGTCTTATAGATGGAAATATATATTTAACATCTCAGAGAGATGGTTGTTCAGCTTTCTCTTAAATGCCACAAGAACTCTCCAACACAGGGGACACTAAAGAAAAAGCTAGACAACCATCTGTCTAATATACTTTAATGCAGATTCTTTTGCATTGAGCAGGGAGTTGTACTTGATGGCCTTATAGGCCAGATTCCAACTCCATGATTCTATGCTTTTAGGAAGATGCTGAGCACCTGTAAGCTACCCCTGCAGAGATCCTGCCTTACCTTCTCTAGGTATGTGTAGCTCCAAGCTTTGCCATCAGCAAAGATTCTGGATGTAATCCTCCCAGACTGGTCATACTCCATCCTTTCTGACATCGTTCCCCTTTGGATTCCAGCGATATGCCCTCCTGCTGAATACGTCACGTTTACTCCATTCAGCCTGCTGCTGGGAGACCAAAGGCTGGGCCGACCAGCCTGATCGTACAGGATCCGCAGTGTGAACTTGCGATGGTCATCATAGATCTTCTCTGTTCTTGTCACACGGTCAAAGTCAAGGGACAGCAAGTTCCTGTTGTGAACCTGCAACAGCGATCGGGGAGGGATCAACATTAGAGCTCCTTAGAAAGCTGTTAGAAAGCACACAATGAGGTCAAGGAGGGTTTTTGCAAACTCTGACTCCTATGACATGGCAAAGAAGGAAGGAAATAAAATGAAACAGATCTGAAAACATGCAGCGGAATCCTTGAATAGGGTCATTGAATGGTTTCAACAGCAACCATCACAAATGGTTCCGTTAAAGCAGAAGCAATTTTGTCCATGTGCATCTCAACGAAAACAGACAATCAATGAATGGAAAGAAAGAGCACAGGCAAAAATACCCCACAATGACTCGCAGCCATTGTTAGCAACGTGAACGGTTTCCATAAAATGTCTACTTCTGACTGCTAGAATCCAGCAGCAGATACTAATCGATCGATTGTACCGGGAGATTTGTGGTTAAAGAAACGAACACACGCTCAGTGTAGTCATGAGAGGTTTATTTCATTGAGGAAATGGCGCAGGGTTGAAGGGTGTTTACATTTAACCCATTCCTTTTGGATCATTTTCTGATTTTAAGGATCCTTCTGCCAAATTACAGAATGCTCTGGAAGAGGGGAAAATCAAAGTTGTACCCATTATATTTGGACATATATTTTCGCCCATAAAATGGGGGAAGGGAATTTACCATGGGAAAATGGAATGGGTGAAAAGAGTTCCCTTCCCTTCTCTGCATCATTACGGACATCCTCACTATCAAAAGTATCTACTAAATGGCCTTTCTGTGTTTAGCTATGATGATGATGGTGATGGTGATGGTGAT